CCTCCCAACTATTCTCAAACCAAGGAATTCCCCTTGCTCTACCCTTGTTTCTCACTCTCACTATAACCATCCTTTTTAGGGCCTCCCATGTTATCTCTGAGTTCTATCACCAGCCATCCTTCTGAAGTTCAGGTCCTTCTCTTACCACCAGATGGTGGTAAAGAGCCTTAACAGGAAAACATAAGTTTCTCAAACTCAGCTCTGTTGACACTGGAAGCCAGCTAATTCTGTCTAAGGGACTGTGCCTGTGTTAAAGCGGAGCTGCTGTCCAAGCAGCAGGCCATGCTAGCTTTGTTGACAACACACCACCTGAGAGTGCCGCATCTATAGGCAGTCCCACCCTTACCCCAGTCAGATTTGGGCAATGGGGTGGGGCGGGGTTGCTGCCTCGGCAGTGGCAGTTAAAGTTTCCCTATCCCCACTGCCCAAGGAGCTATATAACACTGGTGTCTCTGAAACTAACTCCTAGTATAGACCAGCACTGCTACCTGGTGACCAGCACTCTGTGTCCAGCCACCTTTGAGAGCTGTCCACTGCTTCCATTTGTCTAGCACTGCCTCCTGGTGCCACTGCATCTGGTATTGCTGGGGCTGGTGTCTAGTGCTGTCCAGCCCAACCTTCAAACTGTTGTGGGCAGCTGCAGTGTCATCACAGCAACCCAATCTTGAGCACCTCCAGCTGCCACTGTGAGTTGGATCCTGGCATGCTGCTTGCTGATGTTGGATCCTGGTCTTGGTGATAGAACTCAGCACCATCTTGAATGAGTGGCCTTTTTGTTTGTTTGTTTTTTGGGCTTTTTTTTGTTCTGGCCACTGTGGATACTATCTTGGTTGAGGTTGCTAGCCACTTGTGGCCTGAGAAATAAACCCCATTGTTGTTCCCTGACTCTGAGTGATCTTGCTATTGTGTGCAGGTGAGGACCCACAAAGGTTACCTGTCTTCCACTTTGGCACTGTCCTTTGACCCACTATAGCCTTGTATGGCACTGTTTCATTTCCAATTAAACTCCCCAAACTATCCATCTCCTTAGGGGTAAAGGCCTAGTCAAACAGGGTCAGTCCATAGTAGGGCTTCTGAAGTACAAAAGCTTGCCTCAAGTCTAATCTGCCTTCTGGCAGGGAGAGGAGGAGAGATGCAAAAATACAAATCAAGGTAATACCTACCACACATGCCAGTCTCCCCATATGTCTCACACACATCTCCTCCAAGTGTTTCAACATGTCTTCCCCTCCACAACTCTCCTTCCAAGTCCCCTCAAGTCCCCGGATACAAGTCAAAGTTGGAGAAGCAAGAACTCCAAACCCATCTGATTTGTGTGTGACACAGCCAGGGGTTGCTTAGGTCTACCCGTAGTTCCCAGGAGCTCCTCCAACCTATGAGTTCAGTTCATGGCACGCTGGGACTTGTATTCCAAGGTAGCTGCATATTAATGGAAGCACTAGAAAAGGGAATCTTTTCAAATATTTTTTCCCTTTTCTGTTATCCTTTGGCTCCTAGGTCAGCTATCACATTCTTAGACAAGCTTTTCCTGACCTCCCAAACTATTTTGAATTTCTTTCATTATTTGTTCCCTCAAAATTATATTTTATACCTTTATAAGCAATGTAAAAACACTTCTGCATGTTTGTTTAATGTTTAAATCCTAACTAGATTATATACCTTATAAGGAAAGTTATCCTGTGAGTCTCCAATACCTAACCCAGTGCTTGACAATACAAATTCATTTATATAAATGAATATGTAAGTATATATGTGTATGTGTGAATGTACATATAGATACATGTGTGTATATATACATATATATGTATGTATGTATATATATATACATTTAAAAAATCAAAGAATTATGATATTGATACTCACTACTAAGCTACACTAGAATCAAATGTAGTTCTCTTTCCAAGAATAGAGTTCCTTTCACTTTTTTTTACAGAAGTGTTACCCAGTTTTCTCATCTGCACAATAAGTCAGGGAGTCTTAACTTGGAGGTTACCAATACACAAGGGGTCTAAAAAAAAAAAGTACTTCTATTTTCACTGACCTGTAACTAAAATGCAGCATTTTCTTCAACTTTTGTATAGACAGCAAATTACAGAAGTATTAGTAGAAATCATAGATATATGTGCATCATTTACAACATTATAGTTGTTGAACATACATTTTGGCTCATCACTACTTTATAAAATTACAGTTTTTATAAAACCTGCTATTAAATCTTGCTGTTGATGTTTTAATTTAAAAGCACATCTTACAATGTAACCAAATAGGAGTTTTTAAATATATTGATGTGTGCCAATGTAATTGTCTTCCTTTGTAATCCTTTGAATTTTGCACATTCAAAAAAATCACTTTTAAAATAGATTTTGTCAGTCACATGGACTGACAAACACATGGACTAAAAAATTTGCAAGTATCCTATCAAATGGGTCCAGTTTAAAGCTACTGTCTCCTCTAATACTCTAATTAGACTATACTCTAATTGTCCAAATTTTATCTGGTTCACAGGTTCCTAAAGAAGCAAGCAGAGAAAAATAGGAAGAACTGATTCCCAGTGGTGAATAGATATGTCAGTTAGGATGAATGAAAAGACTCAAAGTAAAAGCAAGTAGATGTTTTGCAACAGCACAGTTACTGACACGTCTGAGTTCTGGTTCACAGGAAGACGAGAGCTGAAGAAATCTTTTTTTTTTTTTTTTAAAGATTTATTTATTCGTACAGAACTGGGGTACAGGCCAGAGATGTGGAGGGTGAGAGGATTCACAAGAAACAGCGGGGAGCAGAACAGGCAGATCGAAGAAAAACACTGCTGAGGGGAGCAGCGGGTGGGTCAGGAGAAGTCTGCCGCACCATGTGGTCATCTCCGGGGCAGGCGGGTATCGAACTCATGTGGAAGTGGCTTAAGCTTCTTAGTGCTGTGCTTTAACCCGCTGCGCCACCAGGGAGGGCCTGAAGAAATCTTTTTAATGATTTAAATTCAGTAGTGAGGGGTCACAGAAAAAGGACTATACAGTACAGAAGTACAATTAGCGAGAGATACGGTGTTGCGGCATGATGAAACAAGCAATGTACCTAGCCACCTAGTAAATTCTCAATAACTACCAAATGAAAGAGAAGGGGAGGATAAATGATTGTTCTAAATAAAGGTGAAATCATCAAGGTATTCAGAGTCAAAAAAAATCAAAGTACTTTTTTTTACAAACTTGTGGTGAAAAAACATTTTACTAAAAAAAAAAAAAAACACTAGCTTGGAGGTGGAAGAAAGGAGAATGCATGAGTCAGAGCCCTTCTCTGACCGACCTTGAAAGACCTTGTAATCTCAGCAGCAGGCAGTTCTCACTAATAATACAAGGAAATGAAGTGGGAAGGGGAAAGAACACCACATGAAGAGAGTAAGCCAAGTTCAAAACATCATTTCCAGAGGGAAACATCATCACAAAGGGTTCTGTGGATTTCCATCCAAATTCCAAGTCCCTCCACAATGCTGGACCACCTCAACTTTATTGCACATAGATCAGTAACTTATTTTGCTACATAAATGTAACTGCTTCCAAGGTTTCTTATTTCCACTTCAAAGGTTTGCTTTATTACCAGAAAAAAGAAATGTCTCTGTATTCAAGTGAACAAGTAGTATTGTCTTATCACTTATAAAAAAAAAGGTAGTGACAAATCCAAGTGTCCTATATATCGAATATTGTAGCAGTATAATATTGACAGGGGTAAAAGGGATAAAGCTTTTGTGTGAAAGAATTAATCGGAGACACAGTGGAGAACAGAAAAGGCAGATTCATTGAAATATCCTGCAAGATAGCAAAGGCAAGATGGCAGATGTCTGCCCCAAGATAGGCTTGAGGCTCTCTTTTATAACCTGTAATCTGCAGGGATGTCTAGTGGTAGGTGTTGACTTTAAAAAAAAAATTATTTATTTGGGCCCTCCCTGGTGGTGCAGCAGGATAAAGTACAGCACTACGAAGCTGGCCAGGGAGGTGACCCATACGGTACAGCAGAACTCTCCTGTCTCACCTGCTGCTCCCCACTCCAATTCTCACCGCCCCTGTATGCATAAATAAATAAATCTTTTTTAATCTTATTTAAGTGTTTATTCATTTATGCATACAAGAACAGGTGTTGACCCTGAGACTGAATGTGTCTTGGTCCTGCTTGGGCATTCCCAGTCAAGATGAAGGGTCTTAAGGCCAGGTTCCCATATCAACCTTACCAATTCCCTTACTCTATTCAAGTCTCCCAAACTTGCCTGCTGGGCAAGGAGTAGGGACTTAGTTTTTAACCTTAGTAAAGATACCACAATAGTTAGTCTTTAACTTGTCCATTTTTGCAGGGCGACAAAATACAAACTATACTACGGAACAATTTTTACAAAACCTCTACAAATCTACAAACGTTAAAACCCAACAATAGAAAAAACACGTTAACATATAAATGCGTGGATATGTTTTCTCCCTTTAAAAAAAAAAGCAGAGTTATAATTAAAATAATCCATTTCTTTTCTTCCGAGAGTTGTCAATTTTTCTTTAACTGCAATGATCACATCTACTTAAACTTTTCACTGCCTACCTTTCTTTTCTGAGCATCAGTTATTTCTTTTACCGTCTTAACAGAAAATAATTTTGTTTTAAACGTCGCGCTCAGTTCCTCAGGCAGGTCCCCCCCCCCCCCCCCCCCCGCGGGCCCGAGGGACCCAGCCCCTCCCGGCGCTTTCTCCTCAGATACTCACTTTCCCAGCAGGCTCCGCGGCAGAGCGTCCAGTCGGCCGACCGCCAAGGGACCACGGACGCAGGCCCGCGGATCCCACACTAGAGGGCGCGTTTCCTCGGGTGCCTGAAGCGAGCTCAGCTCACCTCTTTCATGAGGGCAACACCCCTTTTCCTCCCTCCCCTCTGCCAACGAGGCAGGCGCTCATGCTCATGCGCAAACACGTCCACCACGCAGCGGGTACGCGCGTGCGTCCTCGCTTATCCCGCCCCTCCGCACGGGCTCCCCTGGAGTTTCCAGTTCCGGCGGCACTGGGGAGGGTAAAGCGGGCAACATGCGGCTCTCGGTCGCCGCAGCCATCTCTCATGGCCGCGTCTTCCGCCGCATGGGCCTTGGCCCCGAGTCCCGCATCCACCTGTTGCGCAACTTACTTACGGGACTAGTGCGACACGAACGCATCGAGGCGTCTTGGGCGCGCGTGGACGAGATGAGGGGCTACGCTGAGAAGGTGAAGGGAGGGACATTGTCTTCCCCTGGGTCCGGCCGGCGGGCCTGAGGGCGGGGTCCCTCTGACGGGGAAGGAGAGGGACCCTTCTGATACGCTTTCCCCAAAATGAATCCCCTAGTACTGAGCCAGCGCCATTTCTCCTGCGTTCCAAATGGTTATGGCTGGGCGTATGGGGGTGGCATTAAAGATGTTTTTTGTAAGTGGAGTAAATGAGTTGCAGTTTTATATTAAAGGAGTGAGACTGGCGTCTGTTTTCTTGCTGGGGTGGATCGGTTATGTTCTGTCCTCACAGCTCATCGACTATGGGAAGCTGGGCGACACCAACGAACGGGCCATGCGCATGGCTGACTTTTGGCTCACGGTGAGTGTTCCCAGGAGGCCTCCTTACTCTTGGTCTCAGAGGAGGTAGTGGCTGTTAGAGGAAGGGGCAATTCTAAGCCAGGGACAGAAGGAAGTTAGAGCTCACTAGGAGCGTGTACATTACATTAGAACTACATCAGAAACATGGGTCTTAAGTTACTTGATTTTCATTTATTCTGAATCTCAACTGCCCCTCTGTATTCCTTTGACTCTGCCATTTCAGGAGTTGGGGAGGTGTATGCATGTGAGGACCCTACTTTTTGAGTGTTGAAAGTTCTGTGTCTGCAGTGGTGCTTAACCCTACTCTCTCCTGGATAATGTCCCTCTAGGAGAAAGATTTGATCCCGAAGCTGTTTAAAGTCCTGGCCCCCCGGTACCAAGGTCAGAAAGGAGGCTACACAAGAATGCTGCAGATTCCGAATAGTCGTGAGCAGGATCGGGCCAAGATGGCAGTCATCGAGTATAAAGGAAACTGCCTCCCACCCCTGCCCCTGCCTCGCAGAGACAGTAATCTTACACTCCTAAACCAGCTGCTGCAGGGGCTGCGGCAGGACCAGGAAGCATGCGGCCACCAGTCCCATACAACTCAGACACCCAGGATTTAACTGGAGACAGAGGCACATGGCCTTCTCATCAGTACTGATGGTCACAACAGGCCTTTGAAGCTCTTTTATCTTTAAGAAGAAATGGAGTTAGACTTGTAAAAATGGGCTCTTAATGGAGCACAGAACCTTTCTTTGCACAATAGATAAAACTTCTTGTCTAAATAAAAATAAGTAAGCTGATTTTTTTTTCTCCCCTTGAGATTTCTGAAGAATAAGGACTGTCCAGATGCTCAGTCTACCTAGAAAAGTAAAGTCATGCCAATATGTCTTTAGTTTTGTGTGTGGACTCCAAATTACCCCCAAAGATGATTGAGTTTTGACATCTGGAGGAAGATTAATTTCTGATACAGCTTGAAAGTGAACATCTAGAAGTGGGCCTTTTATGATAACCTGGTACCCTGGGAACTTTCTCAAACACTATAACCATTCTATTTTTAGACAGGATCACATGTGATCCTCCTGTGCCCACAATGAGCCTCAGAGGAGAGGACCTGAGAATTCAGGTTATACCATTCTGGCCAAGGTTGGAGCATTCAGCAAAGGATGTTGGAACCCAGGATAAGTGCCTTCCATGGTTAGTGTGGTGGGAGGAGTATTTAGGACGTTAGAACTGCTGGGAATTTCCTGGAAATTTTTTATTGTCAAATCTGGGCCTTGCTGGGAACTCAGAAGAGGGAAATCTGGCTTCAGAATGGCTAAGGCATATGAGAAGGAGGAAGATCATTTATACTTGCTAATTACTGTGAAACCAAGGTTGGCCCAGTCAGGCATCAGTCTGAAAAGACTTGAAGCTGTCGTCCCTCACCTGCACACTTGAGAGTAGGATGATCTGTCATCATAGAGATTTTATCTTTGGCTGGACCTTCAGATTGTATTTAGCTATCAAGCCCCTCCACTTTGTGAGATGAGGGTAAGAATGGAGGGATCATGGGTCTGGCAGATACAGGCACCACTGAAAAACTACTAAGGTCTCTTTCACTGCAGCTGCTCTCTAAAACATCTGTTCCCAATAGGGTTCTATCTCTGCCTCTATTCCAGTTTTTCCATGCTATTACCAGGAAGTTCTAACTATCTTGAATAAGAGACACTCAACATTTCCTGAATAAATGAATAAATCTACAACTCTGAATGTATTGCCACAAAAAAAAAAAATGTATACCCTTCTGTCTTGCTATAAATACTAACCACAGCTAGATATGTTGCAGTCATCTCTGAAAACTAAAGAATTTTCCTTTAACCATATCTTTTTTTTTTTTTTTATTTGTGCGTACAGAACTGGGGTACAGGCCAGAGGCTCAGGGGCTGCGAGAGGCTTCACCAGAGACAGAGTGGGGAGTAGAACAGGCAGATCGACGAAGCACGCTGCTGAGGGGAGCAGCGGGTGGGTGGGTCAGGAGACAGGAGAGGTCTGCCACGCCATGTGGTCACCTCCGCCATGTGGTCACCTCCGGGGCAGGTGGGGATGGAACTCATGCACTCATGCGGAAGTGGCTTAAGCTTCTTAGTGCAGTGCTTTAACCTGCTTCGCCACCAGGGAGGACCTCTTTAACCATATCTTTACTGATAATGGGGTTATGGCTGGACTCCCCTAACTTCCTTTTAGTCCCCAAAAATGTATGTTCCTTTGAGACTTTAGTTTCCTAAGTATAAAGAATCTGCTAGTAATTAGTATGATGTTTGCCATGTCAGACCCTGATTTTAGGTATACAGAGGTGAGAACAACTTATCATTTTCCACAACATTTCATCATGCAGTCTCTGTCACCCAGAAAACTCTTCACCTAGCTATCTCATACACAAACTTGGAATCTCCTGAGTGACTGCTCTGACCATCTGGCAGCTACATCTATTTCTTTGTGAAGCTTAAGTACCACTACATGATTTTCATAATCCACTGAGTTGACAACAGGGCATTACAGTTCCCCACTGTGTATTGGTTAACAAACATCCACCCCAGATTTATCTAAGGCGATAATAGTATTTCCATCCCTTTACTAGGTGGGTTCAGGAATAGACTCACCTGAAATAATACCAGGCAGTGAGAATGCAGGCTCTATTATGCTCTAAAGGGGTTATTCTTAAAACATGCTCAAAAGCATGTTCTTAATGTCAGTGGGAAACTGGCTTAAGACTGAAAATGACAATGGCAGCTAAGAGCGACTGAAAAAATACATAATCTTTAATGATTATTTCTATTTAACCTTGACTTCTATTAATAACTACCAAAATGAATGGGTACTATTGATCCTTTATAAATCAGTGTTTCTCAAAAAATTTATAACGATCCGCAAAACACATTTTATATCAGAACATAATATATCCATGTATAATTGAAAAAAAACATTTTACACTTAAGGTACAAAACATTTTTTGTTGTAGTTTGTTTCTTTGAAAATAGCACTCCCAATTCACTTGATTTTACAATTCAGCACTGAATGGCAGCTTCCTTTTTGAAAAACACTGATCTCAGTCAGCATTACAGTGACTCACCATTGTCTTGCTTTGCCTACCTGATACTCAAATTTCTACTCAGAAGTCACTTTGAGACCTCCAATCCACATCACCCTCCAAACAGGGCTAGATCACCCTGTGTGCAGTTATAGTGCTCAGAACATAACACGCATCAATGGAGACCTTCACACTATCCTGCTCAACATTTGTTTATTACATGAGGTGTTATAAGCAACTTGTCTTAAGACAACTGAATTCTGGCATTTCAGAACAGTAGCCATGGTACAGGGGCAGTGCTCAGCAACACTGCTGATTATGCAAAGCTAGAGAATAAATGGACGCCTCCCTCTCCAGGAACATTAAGTGTTCCTGGCTGTCAAGAATGTAAGCATGTGCCATGCATTTTCCACACATTTCATGTTGCAATTTTCTAACCAGCCTACAAGACAAAAAAATACCTGTACGTCTTCTAAGACCTAACCCAAAATTTGAAATAACATGAGAAGTAGTCCCAGAATTTCCCAAGAAAACCTAGGCGTTTTCCCCATGTCCAATTTCACACTGTATTCTTCATTGTAGCAATGTAATCAACTTGGTTCCCACCCTTTTCCAGAATGAACTCCTTGAGGCTAGGGAACATAATCTAATTTACTCTTGCACCACCTAGAGAACTATCTACAAATGCCTGCTGGTTGAGTCAATTCCTCATGTGAAATACTTTACCCTGGCTCTGCAGCAGTATTGCATGAACTCCCGCCTTCCCTGGTTTCCTTCTACTGATACTTCATCTGAGAAGCTCTGCAAAACTGCCAGTGTTCTCTATTGTGTAATTTCTATACCCTCCAGCCTTTCTTCCTCACTCAAGTTTGAAATGCCCTAAGAATAGAAATAGTCATTGTGTTTATATTTTCAGTAAGGAGTTCCTGTTTTCTGATTACGTTCTGTTCCACAAAATCTCTTTAATATAAATTTTTATTTCTTACTAGCTAAAGATTATATATCACACTCAAACTTCTATAAAAATTGATGCTCTAGGAAGAGGAACCTTGTTTACTCTGTGGCTCACATAGACTTTTGCATACCATTGGGGAGCGTGGGAATTAGCACTAAAATTACCCTATTAGAGGAAGCTGTACCTAGGCATGTCACTAGAAGCTTCATGCCATTGCTTTGACTTAATTTCTTACTGCTTTTCCTTAAAACAATCTCAAGCTTCCCTACAATTAGCTTTTCCTCTTATCCCCAAAAGGGGTTAAAAATAAAAAAGGAAATAAAGAGTAAGAAAAAGGGAAAATAGTTCCCTTTGGTATATGCTGAGTTTGAGCTGCTAGGAGCATCTGGAGCTGGGAGAACAGATTTGGGAGTTGTTGGCAATTAAAGCTAAGGAAATGGATGGAGTGACTCAGTGTATATGTAGATGGAAAGGAGGGTGAGATCAGACATTAGGGGACAGACAGGATACAGACTATAAAGGAGACTGCAAAATTGCCTTTGAGAGGAAGGAACCTGCAAAATTCATCACAGTACCTCAGAGAGGGTCTCCCATCTACGTAGGAAGCACTCAAAAATATTTTATCAAATAAATTTAGCAAGAATATTCCTCCATTCCAAGCACTATACTGTGGGGGAATACAGAGGTCACTTGCCAAGGAACCATCAGGCCAATTGCAAGGGCAGATCATAAAGCAACACAACCTATAAGACAGGTGCTCTGTGCACACAGGACACTGGAATACCATGAAAGAAGGGCAAAGAGAAACTCAGAGGAGAGACAATGTTAAGGGCTGAATCTTGAAGCATGAGTAGGTATCCACATATGGAGGAGTAAAATCAGCTGGAGGGCTTTTCAGACAGTAAGATCTGCAGGTATAAATGCACAGAATTAGGAAACAGTATGAAGTAGTTGAGAAATTCCAAGTAAGTAATTTGGTACAGCTGGGATTTAGTATTTGAGGAAGAAGTGGAGGAAATGAAGCAAGAAAGCTAGGCAAGATCAGGTTACAAAGGCCTTTGGAAGACATGATAAAGTACTTGGATGTTATCCTGAAGACTGGGGAAAGCCACTGAAAGATTCTTAAGTGGAGAGAAAAAAGATCAGATAGACTTTTCCAAACGACTACTCTTACATCAGACTGGAAGATGGGGAAAGAGTAGAAGCAAGGAAGCCAGATAGGAAGCTATTTAAGGGATCCTAGGAGAGTGATAGAAGGGAATCTTCACTAAAAGAGGCCAGTGGCAGGGAATTGCAGAGAAACTAACAGGCCATACTTTTACAGAGGAGATAAAATAGACCAGACATTCTGATCACATCTGGTACAGGAAAAGGTTAAGTTTCAAAGGTGACACCAAGTTCCTACTTGGACAGTTGGGTGGAATAATTCCATTCACAGAAAACAAGGATAGCAGAGGAAAAGCAGATATGAGACTACTGTGATGAACTTTGTAGTAAATATATTAATGGTAGGAACTAGCTTGTGAACCGTTATTCTGGAGCTCAGAGAAGATATGTAAGCCAGCAACACAGATGTTAGAGTTACACACAAACATAGAACACTGCTGTCTGAAAATCTATGGGGGAAGGGTGTTGACAACCTCTCTGTGTCAGTAGAGGGTGAGTTCTTGGAGGCAATGTTCTAGCAGTCCTTTCATGCCTCCTCAGAGAACTTGGTTCTCCATGCTAAGTCTTCTTTTCCCTCTTATTTGTATGCTATATATCTCACCTAGCCTAAT